TTTTTTACATTTCTTTAACTCTTACCATAACTTTATGTGTCTGACAGTGGAGCACATGCTGAGAACCCAATAAGAGAAAGAACAGTAGACTCAACTCTCTACGGCCTGCAGTGGGTTAACTTTTTAAGTTTAAAACAAAAGAATTGAAGGTTCAAAGTGTTTTCATTTTCTATCACTACCTTTCTTAGTTGAAAAAGTAAAAGAGGAAAGGAGATGAGAAGCATGTTTGTAATAGACAAAAAAGCAATTGTCCTTCTCAATGTGAAAGTGTTCCTTCCTTCCCACAAAACATGTTCAATGAAACTTTTCCATCCAACAGTCAAAAGTTAAAGATCTTTTCAACTGATTACAATTTCATATTCTGAAAGCCAAACTTTTTTTTCCTCTGTTCATCTCTAGTTATTCTATAGAGTTTATTTTTAGATAGGATTATAACTAAATTAGTCTTCTCCTCAATATTTTAAAAAATATTAGACCAGGCATAGTGGCTCACACCTGTAATTCCAGCACTTTGGGAAGCCGAGTTGGGAGGATCGCTTCCACCCAAGAGTTCCAGTTCAGCATGGGCAACATAGGGAGATCCCAACTCTACAATTTTTTTAAAAAAAATTAGCCAAGTTTCTTGGTGTGCACCTGTGGTTTCAGCTACTTGGGAAGCTGAGGTAGGAGGACCACTTAAGCCCAGGAGGTTGAGGCTGCAGTGACTTGTGTTCACACCACTGTATTCCAGCCTAGGTGAGAGAGTGAGACTGTATAAAATAAGTGAAATAACTGCTAAATTCATGCATATTCATCTTACTAAATGAGGATTGCTTGAGTACTGATCCGATCTTTGTTTAGAATTAAGGTTTACTGCGGTGACATATATTTGTGCATTTTCCTCAAATATTAAATTAATTTGCGTCAAATTCTATGCTTCCCATAGCTTGGAGGAATTTGATTTAGTGACTTGAGCCACTGACCTGGTTAAGAAAATCTATAGAAACATCTGGTGCTGTGAAATAAAAGACACTAAGACAACGAACACTCATTTTTCCCTGATGCCTGTAGTAAACCGTATTCATTCTTGCTATGTTAAATGATTATATGTCTTGAGTTTTTCTCTACCCCCAGTCCCCAGGAACTTTATAAAAATGGATATACTCTAAACCATACAGAGTTCACTTGATTTATAGTGATGTTGCCAAAGCTGTTGAACATTTAGTAAAAATGCAAAATGTTCTCAGCACCTTGAAAAAAAATCTAAACCTATATTGTCTTAGTTCTTGCAATGCCACCCATATGCAAAAGTTCTTAAGTATTTCTCTGCCCACGCTCACTATGGTGTAGCAGGTGTAATCCAGCATCAGGTAAGCTGGGTTCTTACCCATTGGAAAGTTAGAAAGTTGTCCGTTTGGTTTTTATATTCATATCTGGTTTTACATTGACAAAGCAAGATAGTGAAAGCAAAAATGAAATAGAATGGAGACAGACACACCTTTGGGATGTCTACAAATATTGGTAGTTCTGTGCACTGATATCGTATAGCCGATACTCGTCACCTTTTATATTATAAGCCTACTTTTAGATGTGTGTCAGAAACAGGATAAAGGTCATATTGCTTAAGGCCTACTATGAGCGTAAAGGATAGAGAAAAATGTACCCCGTGAATTGGCAAATCGTCAGGTACCATGATTGAATAACCTGTAAGGCATCTTAAAATGAGCACAATGGATCAATGAGCTTGTTTTTGTTCCTTACCATAAATTTATAAGCTAGTATGCTATGATTAATTTCCGCCAAAATTTCATAATGGCTTCCTTTTTAAAATAATGCTTTGTCTGTCTCAGTGTATGACTAAGAGCTCTTAGGCCCTCTTATTTAGGGGATGAGACTGTATAAGGACTACAGGCAAGAATTTACAGAGCTCTCCAGCTTAAATGGAAAAGTGGATCTATAATATCTTTATAAACGAGTGTAGGAGTAAAGAGTGGAGAGGAAGGGGTTACCAGAATTTTCAGAATTGTGAGTACTCTAAATGAATTAGATAGTTAAGAGACTCTTTTTAAGTATTTCCTAGGCACAATCTGAAAAATTCTTACAAATGAGAACTATGCATGCCTTATGCTTAATTGACATATATGAAAATTCTTTTGCCTCGGAACCCAAATGTCATATTTGGAAACCAAATGATAACATGATACATTTGAAAACCCCATTTTATAAAATGATACTATTTCTTTTCCCAGAGAATCTCGGGTTTGTCCCACTGGCAAAAAGAGAGCACAGAGGTAGCTGTAGAATGATCTCTTGATCCTTTGACAAAACTGAGGAAAAAGTCTAACAAATGCATGGTTTTGCTGTAAATTAGATCAGATTTCCGCATCTCCGCACTCAGTCTGTGAGTTGACAGTTCAGTAAAATGTTCCCTTGTAAGGTTCGCCCTCTTAGGAAAAGGGGCAATAATTCATCATTAGGACATCAGAGTCCAGGTGTAGATGGAAACTGATGGAGCCTCCAGCGAGGCAGGGAAAGTGCGTGGAAGAAGAAAATTTTATCTGAAGCCTAATTCCCTGGTTACAGCAGAGAATAATTAAGATAATATTGCTTCAAGAGTCCTTTAATGATTAAAAATCACATATGCAGAATCCATAAATTGGAGGGCAACAAATTGGAAGGCTGTAACGTCAGAGAACTGTTTTGTGCACATTGTAGTGGAAAGTACACTAGCGGCGGTTCGCCGTGCAGGCAGCCATCAGAGACCCAGAGCATTCCAAGGACTTTGTTTAGATGCAACAAATCATTTGTCTGTTATTAACCCAGAGCTTGTAATTATGCAGATTGCCATAGATTTTCCTGGGCCTGGAAGTGAGATTGAGGGTTGTTCACAGTATAGCAGGCAGCTCAGGGCTGGCCATGCATTACTGAACTTGCCACATTTATCATGTTGACTGATGGCAGCAGAAGCAGGTCTCAGGTCCCAGTGGTTAATGTAGTGGGTAATTAACTGTCATTTGCCTAGTAATAGGCTGATGATCAATGGTTTGTGTGGAAACAAATTCTAATCAGGTAGCTGATAAATGCTCAGCTAGAGAGAGCAATTGAAATTGGGGGAAACTATGTCCAGAATTTCAAAGTGGCATTGTGTGTGTATGTTTATTAGATATGAGCAAACTGAATAATTCTTAAAAACAGCTTTATCTCATGTTAACCAGATTTTATATACACAAGTATATCTATATTCATTGAATAAAGGACTTTTAAGTTTTCCTTATTTCTCAAAAACAATAAAGAACACAAGAAACAATGGCATATGTCAGTAGATCATGTAAATACACTGAAAAATAAATAGGAAACATTACAGTAAAGTAAAAAATTCTGCTTACAAGTGAGCAGGATGAAAGCTTTAATTTTTCATTTTACATCTTCAATAGCAGATGTACGATATTACATTTTCAAGGAAGTTCTTTTGAAAGAAATATTATTTACCAAAATATGGATTATAAACTGAGAACATGAAAGTTACTAGGATTATATTATTTAAATTAGCAATACTCAAGTGTTTTGAAATTCAGTAAGGAAAATAAGTGTCTAACAGTTATGAATCTGATCTTTTTGAATGTAAACTTCACTTACTTTTTATCAAGTGCACAGACTAGGTTAGCGAAGTCTTCAAAATGCATTTATTGCTACCTTCAAGGTGCTTATACTCTTCAAGAGGCAATCCAACAAAAATATGAGCATTAACATTTATTGCACATTTTTGCCAGACACTTAGAAACCATTCTAACAACTGTTTCCAACAACTCTCATTATCCTGGTAAAAGGAAATAGTTATAAACTTGAAAATGAATATGCGTGCCTTAAGAAAAGACTTGTCTTTGGAGTCTACAGAAAGTGATGAGAGACGTCAGCACTTTTGTGCCTAATCCTTAAATTCAATAAAATGAAAGGCTAAGTTTTTTAAAAGTACATTTTTATAACCAAAATGAGTTTTCTCTATAGCACCTTTGAATTCATTCGTTCAGAACTGCTTTTAATTTGGTCTTTCCCATGAGAGCCATTATATTTTTTCTCCTGTCAGCCTGATGCTGGAGAAAAAAGAAAACTGGCAGATGTGGTGTTTTTCATCTAGTTTGCTTCCTAGTAAAAACAGTGCATTAACGACTATGCATGGAATATTATTTATAATAATTCTTCACCATCATTATTAACTTTAAAGAAACTTGGTTTAAATATTGCCAGTGCAAATGGATAAAATGTTTCCTCACATTATGAAATGAGAGACATTTTATTTTGTACTTTTTTTTAGGTCATTCCAATAACAATTTTCAGGAAGCCACAGCAAACAGGAACTTTTCTGAAATCCTAGACAATTCCAATGGTTCTGACAGTATATTATGCTTCAATTTCTGGTCTAGCTCTATATAGTTTACAGCCTCATTTACTTCAATGTGCTACTTGAATATCATAATCAAAGCTATAACTGTGGTATAGACGCATAAGGTGCATGCATGCGCCTCTATGTTTTTTGACTATTTAAATGGCTCGTTCATAAATGTGTTTTTAATAGTAATGGCAAACCTTTTAGTAACTAGATGTCAAAAAATAGTGACTCATTCATTCATTGGTTCCTTTCCCAACTAAAAAGTTTAATATATAACATTAAGATCAAAGTTCCATTGCTTTTCGATTTTCTGTGTACTCTAACCCAGAGAAGACTTTTGCTATGAATTTACCCCCATTAACTTCCGTTTATGTGCAGTTATGTAAGCTTCGTAATGTATTTGTCTTTCCCTTTTCTTCTCAAACAAGATGTGATTTTCATCAAAGAAGGTCAACGGAGAATATAATTTGGAAGAATATTTATGCATACACCTAGGATACAACCCACTTGTGTACATCATAAGGAACTGTGTACGGATAGCTTTACAAGGGGATATTAGCATCATCTCTCTTCACAATCTCAGATTTCTCTGTAAGAGTTTGTAAAAAAAAAAACAAACCGTTTCTCATTCTAGGCTCTTTGGCGTGACGGGAAACTGTGCCGCCTGCAGTAAGCTCATCCCTGCCTTCGAGATGGTGATGCGTGCCAAGGACAATGTTTACCACCTGGACTGCTTTGCGTGTCAGCTTTGCAATCAGAGGTGAGCACATCTCTTTTTGGTCTCTAAAAAATGGTAAACCTCTCCGTGCTGGCTATTGATTTAATACGTGGGAATTATGTTGGCACATTTAAAGCAATGAATTTCAGCATTTTTCTGTTCTGTAAACTTTAATCCCGTCCCAGAAACAAACCACTAAGGAGAAGAAAGGTCTTAAGGCTTATTCTACCTGAAAGAAAAGCATCGTATAAGAGCGAGTAACAGAAAATGGAAACACTTCTGTAAACTCTGACTTCTTTTATTTAGTCCTTTCTTTTATTATTTTCCTGTCTTTTAAAAAGTAGTTTTTAAGTATCTACTATGTTTGTACTACTTCTGTGAACAAATACATGGGCACTGAGGCAAATATACAGGAATTTGTTGCAAGTATTTTGCATTTCTTATTTTTCAGATTTCAGTTTCCTGATTTCTCTTGTTTCTGTTTTTGTTTTTTGAGACAAGGTCTGGTTCTGTCAGCCAGCCTAGAGTGCAGTGGCACTAATATGGCTCATGCAGCCTCGACTGCTGTGGTCACACAATCCTCCTGCCTCAACCTCCCAAATAGCTGGGAGTACAGGTGTGCACCACCATGCCTGGCTAATTTTTAAAAATTATTTTTTATTTTTAAAATAAAAATGTGTTGCCCAGGCTGGTATCAAACTCTTGGACTCGAGCAATCCTCCTACCTCAGCTTCCCAAAGTGCTAAGATTATAGGCATGAGCCACTACCCCAGCCTCTCTAGGTGTTTACCTTAAATGCTAACCCTGTTCTGTATGAACTTTTGCAATCGTTTCAAATATCTTTGAGAATCAAGCCACATATAGCTAATAATTGAACAGTTATCATCATTGGAGAGAAGCATTTGAAAAAGTCTTGAATTGGGAATCTGGAAACCTAAATTCAAATATGGGCTCTGCCACTAATCAGCTGTGTGATCTTAAACCAAACACTTTCATTCTCTGGACCTCAGTTTTTTCATTTGTTACATATGGAGCTGGATTAGTCCATCTCAGAGAATTCTTTCAGCTCAAAAGTATTATAACTTAATTCCATTTTTTCTTATTGAAAATTATATGTTTTTTTTTTTATTTCTGTGGAAACTATATATATACTACTGGCACCTGTTTCATGTGATAAATGGAGATAACTTTAGACTATTAAAGTGAACATATCATTAAAAATACATTTCAAAAGTTAAAACACTTGATAGATTTTAATAAAAATGAATTTAGTGAGTTTCTGTGAGGTGATTATATACGCCTGGACATAGTATATAATCAATAAATATTAGTTGCATGAGGTTCTGAATTATTGTACTTTACTGTGAAAGGTACTATTTGATGGAGAATCTTCTTATGAGACCCTGTAGAATAGTAGGAAGAATGTGACATTTACAATGAGAACGGGATTCAATTTTAACACCACCATATATTAGCTGATATATTAGCTGTGTGATTTTGAGTATGTTACTTAATCGCTCTGAATTTTATTCCCACACCCATAAAATAGGAACATGAACACTGCTCTTGCAGAGTTTGAAACTTAAATGAAATAATTTCTATTAAGTGTCAGGAATACAATAGGTTCTCAAAAGTTAGTTATTTTAATAATTTACCAAATAACATTCCACTAACTTGACTTTCCCAATAGACATATATCACAATAGTGTCTCTCATCAACTGTAGATAGGAAGATTGTGGCCTAATGTACCTTACAATGTAATAGTTATCCAGCCAATCATTTATGATGTACCTTAAAATGTAATCGTTATCCAGCCAATCATTTATGATGTACCTTACAATGTAATAGTTATCCAGCCAATCATTTATGATGTACCTTACAATGTATTAGTTATCCAGCCAATCATTTATGATGTACCTTACAATGTATTAGTTATCCAGCCAATCATTTATGATGTACCTTACAATGTATTAGTTATCCAGCCAATCATTTACGATGTATCTTACAATGTCTTGACCCTTCCCAACGAGTACTGAGAATCAAAGTGAGTTCATTCGGTCTAGGGTAACATTTAGACAAAAGTAAATTGGCAATTGCACATGTTTTTTGTAGGGAAAAGGATCCATAAACACAAGGATTCACACATCCATACAGACACCTTTATGTGCATGTACTTATGTATCTTACACATTTCAAAGGTATATTTGCGGTAAATTTAGAATATTTTTGTTTACTTGTTATGTTGATCAACAAATAGTAGCCAGTAACAATGCAGTTACCATTATGCAATCATTAAGTCATTGCTTCTCTACTTATAAAAGATTACATATTCGCAGTAGAAAATTTAGAAAATAGAAAATGATAAAAACAACATTGTCTCGTGTCTCACTATTCTAAAAGAAAACATTTTAATATTTGGATATATAGCCAGCTATACATGTTTCTATGTATATAGGACAAATGACATTGTGTAAATATTACACTCACATTTAAGCAAATTAAAGAAAAGTTACAAGGAAGAATCCTAATGTTTAATATTTGGACTTTTTCACTCAATTTATATTGTGTGCCTTTTTACCTGACATTAAAAATTCTTTTAAGATATTTTAAGCTTTCCTGAGTTCACTTTTATGGACAGAGCTTCACGTATGTCTTCTATTATCAGATATATAAACTGATAATATAAATCAGATATATAAACTTTCATTATCAGTCTTATCAACATAAAATGGACTACATAAAAAACAAATGCTCATATCTCTGTCTGGCTAAATTCACAGGAGCATAATTAATTAAACAAAGTATATGACAGTGTGGAAGCTCATGCTACACATTGCCAAAATGATCTCCAGAAATGTTCTACCAATTATTCTCCCAGCAGAAATGTACAACACTACACACTTTCCTCACATTCACTCTAACACTAGGAATTATGTTTTTTAAAAAAATCCTTGTCACCTTGAGGGATGAAAGAAGGTATTTGATTATAATTTCTGATTGGTATTTATTTGATGCCTGGTGGCCCTTTGGTATTTCTTCTTTTAGAGAAGTAGGCAGTTTATGTCCGTTGTCCATTTTTTTCTATTAAGTAGGCTTACCTATTTTATCCATGTTCCACACAGAAAATTAAAACATCATTCAAGTGCTAAACCCAACCTAAATTCTATTATGATGCAAAGTAATTGTAGGCTGTTAATGCTATTTACAAATCATATATCAGTTTTATTTCACCATTGAAATAAAAAGTTGCATTCACAATTAAGGCTGTCTCCTCAGGAGAACTCAGTCAAGTAAGACAAACACTCCTAAATTTTGACTCTAAAACTGTTCACGTTCTTATTGCTGCAAAATACTATTCTAGTATCATTATGAAAGTACCTAGTATATTTCTGTGTTCGCTTCATTTATCACGTGCCATAATGGGACTGCATATCTTTAGTGCTAGTTATGCGCAATTAGCACTTAGTTATTGTCTTGTCACTTCTGCCCCTACAAGACAGACTTCCTTAGAAGTCAGCTAATCTTCATCAGTCAAGCAAAGCAGACAAATTCTGTTATCCAGGGTACAGAAGGTTTTAATATAGGAGATTCTCCTTTTACTCTGAAGTTTGCTTCAACCCCCTCCAGGAAACGCATATCCCACTTCCAGTAGCCAAATCACTGTCACAATATTGCACTTTTTCAAGTGAAATGCAAGGCAAGTAGGTAATTCATAGGCATTTCTTCCCCTTAAGCAAACCTTACTTACTTCTGAAGTTGTGGAATTACACATGCTTATGAATTTTATTCACCAGTCATTTCATCTTAACTTTTAAATCAGAGTATCATTAAGATCCAAAGCCTTTCTGAATGTTTTAAAAAGTAGCAGTAATAATAACCTTTCAAGATTGGTCGTCTCTTATATATAGATTTCTTCTGCCCCTTTTAGAGAAGTATAGCTAAAATATGAACCCTGTATTAAAATTCTGCAAGTTTCTATATTTTGAAAGTTACCGCAGGAGGGGTATTTGCGCTTATTTTATGATATCTTGAATCTCATTCAGAACTGGAAGATTCTATATAACAAGTTAATTTCATAAAGGTGAATAAGCCCCTTCCTCTTAGAAAACTCAGTAAAACTAAATGATAGTTTTGTTAAGAAAAGGAAAATAAACGCTTGTGATGAAATTTTCCCAACTACATAAAATTATTTAACAATTTTCTTTTTTTAAGAATAAAAGCACTGTGCTAGGCTCTGTGGAAGCTGAGGTGGATAAAATCTAGTTTATTTCTTAGAGGTGTCCAGAGCTATGGGAGAGACGGGACATCAAAGCCTCACAGAAGAGTGTAATCGATGCCAAATAGATCTGTACTGAGGGAAGAGACAGCTATCCTTGAAACGTTAGGGAAGCATCAAAGGCCTGGTGCGCTGGGTCTTAAAAAAAAAAGAACTCCCTAGAACCGGTTGACTTACAGGAAGTGTGTCTGCTGGGGGCTGGGGAAGATGAGGGAGCCAGGGATTTTCAGGCAAATTGAGCAACGAGCAAAGGCATGCAGATGTGAAGGCATTTGACGTGTTTAGGAAATGAAAAGCAGCTCAGTGTGTGCAGAGATTAGAGAAGGGGTTTAGTAGGCATGTGGAGGAGGAGAGAGAGAGCAAGGACCCAGAGGAAATGAAACTGTAAATGTGGTCTTTGAAAAGTCATAGAATAAAAGTCAAAATGAATACAAATTTAAATTAGTCGTCTAAAAGGCATTTTTTTAAGGCTATTGGTTTCTGGAATAAATCTACCTTAACCAATTTTTAATGACCACACACCTTCAGTGGTAGTACAGTTTAAGATGGTTCTGCGAAGGGTTCAAGAGAAACGTAACCCGTGGTCATTTACCTCTGAACTGCCGTTTAGATCGGGAAACCAGTTACACAGTCATGAGAAATTGTGAAACACCAAAATAACAATGCACCAACAAGTAAGTGCTTTCGGAAAGATCCGGATAGGTGAATTGACATGGTCAGAGGAGTCGATGGAGGAAACGGGAAGTCCAAGATTGCTAGAATTTATGTAGACAGGAAAAGGGGAGAAATATTTATTGCTAGGGATCAACTTAGTCAAGGTGAAACGATTATCATTACCAAATGATAATGACAGTCAAATCTGATAAAGTGTTAGTCACACACCAAACAGCGACCTGAGTGTCTCACATGCACTCACTGCTTTACTACTCAAAATACCCTTGAATAGATATTGTTATTAGCTTCATTTGACAGATGAAGAAAGTGAAGTATAGGAAACGGAAGTAATTTGCCCAAGATTACACAGTTAGAAGAAAATGGTAGAGGCAAGATGAAAACCCAAGGAATCTCGTCTCCCCCTCTGGAGTCAGGCCCATTTCAAGAGAGGTACTTGATTTTCTGACTAAGCATATAAATGTGAATTGATAGAGTGGAGTTAAAGTAAGGTAATCTTTGAATAGTATACAGCAAGATTTGGGGTGTGGGTAGTATAATTTGATACAGTAAGGGGTGTTAGCAGTGAGATGTGCAATGACAACCAGGTTGTCAGTGGGAAAGACAGTAAATTGTCCAGAAGTGTATAGTGGTGAAATTAGTACACGACCCGGACCGCTTACTGAAAACAGTGTGCTAGAAATCTCTAACTTAACAGTTAACCGAAGATGTGGGATAGGGAAGTATAGACACTAGAATATAGATCGGATTCCACTTCTTATCTAAGTGTTGTAAAATAGAAATTAATCATAATTGGCAGTCACTAACATCCGGGAAAGAAGATGGCTAAGTTAACATTTTAATTTTTTTTTTTTTTTTTTTTTTTTTTGAGACAGAGTTTCGCTCCTGTTACCCAGGCTGGAGTGCAATGGAAAGGGATGTTACCAGGGGAGGTTTCTTAGCATAGGCTTTTGATAACCTGCTTAAAACTAAGCACTGTATTTCATAAGGATGATTTACTAGTTATACTTCTTTCATATACTTCTCAAGTCTCTAAGACTATATGAAGTCTGCTAGAATCACTCAAAAATATCTACAAATTAAATCTAACATTAATTCCAAAACATCAAGATTAGATGATTTAATAATTTGATTGGGCATCTTCTTATTCCTTACCATAATTTTTTTAAATGAGGGTAAAACTAATTGAACTGAGCATACTACAAGTAATTAGGGTCAGATTACAAGAAAGATTATGTTTATTTTTAGTAACTGTAGCCTGATCTGTTAATACACTTACGGGATCCTCTGGCTGTCACTCCTTTCATAATGCTTCTGTTTTTCCTCCAAATGCTGGATCTCGTAAGAAGCTGGTTAAAATCACAGTTGCAGATTACTTTGTTAAGCACATTCTATCTGTGTTTCTGTCTCTCTCATTTCTTTGTATTTATATACGAAGCATTTTTTAAGGAGGATATCAACTGTAATTGCATCCCAATCATAATCTGCTCTTAACCACAGCTTTCAAGGCTGTTTTGTTTGAGTCATATGTTCAAATGTGACATTCCTCATCTATGTTCTGTTTCATCTTGACCTTTAAGTATAAATTGAAATGCATATAAAATGCACTTTATCCAGTTGATAACATAATAGTAATAAAATATGTCAGATACGGGTTATTTTTAGAAAAGTTCTCTTTCTCTCTCTGCCTCTCCCTGTGTTGCTCTCTGTATACCACCTAACTGAATGGTAGGCAGACTTTTTTAAAGTTACGCAAACAAATAATAGTAGTATGAGAAAAAAACCAGTTACGCCCTGTCTAACTGTTTCATCTCCACATCATTCATATAGCTTGCATGCTTTACTGCCTCCAGGTAAAAACTTGAGTCTTAAATCCAAAAAGACCTGGGTTATTTTCCTTCCTTTACTACATACGTTCTAACTATGGAATCTTGGGCAGGGTTTTTAAATTCTGGAATGGAGTCTTGGGTTTTTCTTCCGTAAAAAGCCCTAATAATGCTTACTTTCTAGGTTGGATGTAAGGAATAAATGCGAACATGTACATACATGCTTAGCATTTAACACATGGTAAGTATAAAAAGGCTATTTTACTTATATTGCAAACATTAAGGTAAGATTTTAGATATTTCATTTCTACTCCTTGCACAAGCCTACAAAGGCGACTGATGTCACAGATATTACAAACTGAAGTTTTACCCTCAGTTATCATACGTGGGAAGCTAGAGTTTAGACCCTACTGGTTGCAGTATACCTCGCTGCCATTCACACGCTTCCCATTTGAACCTCTCTATAATCTACTTACAGGGCTCTTTTTCTCTTACACATGGGGAAGTGAGACAGGGATAGTCTGAACTGTGCCCCAGCTCTTGCAATGAGTAGGTGATAGAGACAGGACTCAAGACAGATCCCCAGGCTCTTGGTTTTATGCTTTTCTCACTATAATTACCTTGAATTTATTAATCTACAAATAAACATTTTCTAAGTGTGAAGGCCTCTACAGCGTGAACGGCGTGACATAACATAATAACATGACCAAGAACATGTTTTCATTTGGTGGCTAATAGAACTTTAGGGCTTCCTCAAAAAGTAAAGCAAAAGTTTAAACAACATGGAGTTAAAAGAGAGTGTTTCCAGATTAATGAGTTTTTAGAAGAAATGATTCAGTAATGTCAGCTGGAACACAAGAGTGTTTATCGAATCTACTTCTTTTGAGTGATATTTTATTATTCGCATATTAGTCGAAATTAATTTCAACAGTAATATTCATTTATAATTTTGCACAGTAATTAAACATATTCTACATGCTGTTTTATATAATTTCACCTACAAGATAAGCTTTTACTACTTAGGTCTATTCAACAAGAGAAATATTTCCTTTATTCAGCATATCTTAGTGGTCACGGTATCAAACTGGTTTGTACAAACACTGTTATTGAAGTACATTTAAAGTGTACAGTTTGCAACTAATACAAAGAAAATAGACTTAAAGCCCCAAACTTGACTGTTGATTGTATCCAATAGCTTTGACCACAAACAACCTTAGGATTTCAAGATCAGTGCTTTCAATCAACATCATCAGCAGGCAGTAATCCTGAGGAAAAAAAGTAAATTCCACAAATAAACAGACCAATTTTCCTTTAAGAGGAAAGCTAATTCTTTTCAATCTACTTTTTTTATTACACTATTTTCCCCTCTATCTACTTAGCTAGTATAAGGATAAATTTCCAAAGCTACCCAGTTGGAAAAAAAATAGGTTCACTGTTTGTCTAGCATTCCAATCTTTGCAAATGTAAATCAGTCCAACTGCTTCTCATTTAAACCTTCAAGTTCACAAAACATTAAAGGGTGGCTTTCCCTGCACAGTTTAATCTATCCACTAAGATTTCTGCTGTAACATTATTTGAAATTGACTATCTGATAAAGAGAGACTACTATCAAAGGTCAGAAAGGTCAACTTGTATAATTACAAGTAGTTTTACTGGGTCAGCTCTACCAGACACCACTGTTTGAAGGTTAAATTGTTACAATTAAATATATATACAGATCTCCCCAGAGTTACTTTATTGTTAAATGTAGCGGAAACAGGAAAAGCATTTATTTCTGACCTTAATTGTGTCCACAGTGTCACCATGGGAAAATCATACAAAAAGAACGCTTATTAAAAACATTACAGTCTTGCACATTAAACAGTGCTTTATAAAATAAAATGTGTAATTAGCTATTGGAAACTAGTTTAATTTATCACATCAATATTAAGTAGTTCATTTAGGTTACTCCCTTCGGTTAAATCGGAAGTGCTCTAAGAAATGACATCTACTATTTCATGTTGGTGAACTTGCCACAAACAAAGGAATATGGCTCAGCACCAGAGTCTGACAAGAAAGCAACTGTTACTCAGAATGATCACTTCTAGATTACTAAAATTTAATCTCATTTTCATAACACAGTAAAAGAAAGCTTTACATGGGAAGCTTTAAAATGGGCTATTTTCTAATTGTTTGATTCATTTCAGTGCCTTTTACTTTTTTATTAAATACCTAAATGGTCAGAGATGAAATCATCCATAATTACTGCAGTGAAACATTATTATCTTTCTTTTATTTTAATGACTGTAAATACAGATCAGTTCTTTTTATTGTTTTTCTTTCCAATGTGGTTTAAAAAAAAAAAAAAAAACAAGTCATGTTTGGAGCTCAAAGTGTTTCTATCGATGTCCTTATACTTTTGCATACAAAGGCAAGGTTTCAAATGTGTGCAATATTTCATTAAATGAAACAAAAGTTAAAGGCTTAATTCTGATAATGAAGACAACTATCTAAGCCAGGTTTTCAGATTCAGGGAATCATCATGTGAAACTCTTATTAGGGAGGTAAATCTTCAAATTTATAGATCCAAGTGAAATGGTCTTAACCACATTTTATTGTTTAAAATATTTTCAGGTTTTGTGTTGGAGACAAATTTTTCCTAAAGAATAACATGATCCTTTGCCAGACGGACTACGAGGAAGGTTTAATGAAAGAAGGTTATGCACCCCAGGTTCGCTGATCTATCAACCTCACCCCATTAAGAATACAAAGCACTACATCCTTTTATCTTTTTTGCTCCACATGTATATAAGAATTGACACAGGAACCTACTGAATAGCGTAGATATAGGAGGGCAGGATGGTGATATGGAATAAAAGGCGGACTGCATCTGTATGTAGTGAAATTGACGCAGTTCAGAGTTGAATGTTTATTATTGAAGAAAAAAAGGAATGTACATATTGCTGGCTTTTTTTTGCTTGCTATTCGTTTTTGTGTCACTTGGCATGAGATGTTTATTTTGGACTATTGTACATAATGTATTGTCATATTTGAAGCACAAATGTAATACAGTTTTATTGTGTTACCATTTGTGTTCCGTTTGCTTCTTTGTATTGTTGCATTTAGTACAATCAGTGTTTAAACTTACTGTATATTTATGCTTTCTGTATTTACCAGCTATTTTAAATGAGCTGTAACTTTCTAGTAAAGAACTGAAAAGCAAATCTCACTGATGATACAGAGATAGATAAAGCAAGTCTATCAACATTAAAAATACTAAAAAATAAAGACACACAGAGCATTTTAGTGACATCCGCTACTTATTGCCGCTATGAGTTAGTCTATCGGTGTTCTTATAACCCTCTATTTTCAGGGGGTTAAGAATCAGCTTTAAAAAATACAGAAAAATTTCATCTTAAAGCACTTTCATTTTATACCAACGTGAAAAGTGCCATTTGTAGAATAACTTTAAAGCTTAACAGGTTTCCTTTTAATATCCTTTTTCTTTTTGTGCTCTTTACCTACACGATGGCTTTGTTTTGCTTTTTCAGCCACACCCTTATGTGAACTAGTGCCTTTGGGTATCATGTAAAATTTTTTCCAAAGGGTTACTTTGCAAATCTGTTACCACAATTATGAGACAATTTTTAAGTGATAAATTAAACTTCTTGTATAAAACTTGCCCAGATCTCTCCACAGGAGCTGAGGGTTTAATAACTGTATGGCTTAATAAATGTATGGCACTGAAAAGATTTGAGTGTGAATCTACTGAAATCACTATAATGCACATTGAAGCTGTGATGATATTTCAGTAGTGAGGTTACTTTTGATCAGAGCAACATAATGCTCATAGAATCTTCTAGAAGAAGAGAAACAAAGGGATTGATTAAAAAGCTGAGAACTAGTGATTATATATTTTTCTGTATTTACCTGACATTAATTTTAATGTTCAAAAAGTAAATGCTTTACGTTTGATGTGTTTTACCCTCTCATTGTTTTAAGTAATTACCAACTCAGAATACATCAATCTTAGGCTGAAATTTGTCATTCCGTTTTTTAAGGTGAAATAGTACTACCTTACATGATAGCATACAAAAAAGAAAGCTCTAGAAACTGAAATTATGGAGAACGATCATTTAAATTACAATTAAGGAAACTAGAATACGATCCCCTCTTCTGGGTGGCCCCGTGAAGTTGCTTCTTTGCTGTTGCTCTCTGTAATAGAACTACTCAACAAATCTAATTCTGCACGGGCACCATGAACCGTATTTTCACTACAGCAAACTTACTGCTATGGGTTTTCTCTTTGTTTTTTTTTCTTGATCACTTGTATAGGAAACAATCTTTTCCAGTGTTATTTGCATATATATTTTGTCCTGCCGATATATGCATTGTAGATGAAAATTAAATGTTATACCTGGATTATTGGTTTGGGGCCAAAATATTAAGCAGAAAATAATGCTGATGTGCATTTGTTTTAAGACAAAGCTTTATTATGAACATGCATGTGAATCTGGATATTGCTTCTTATTTTTAAGAAAATGGTTCTGTGAAAAGTGAACAATATGTATTTTTACAGATGCTTCATGGTTAGGAGTCTTCGAGTCCCATATCCCCCAAGTTTGAGATATTCTAAAGAAAGAAATTCAAAAGTAGCTATTTGGGCCCACAAAAATAACTATTATTTTAGCCCGAGAGCTTTACACTTGTTTCATGAAGGGAAAGGACTTCCATCACCAAAATAAACAAAGCAAGACAAATTAAAAATGTGGGGGAGAGAAAGTGAAAAGTGGTTTTCTTAATGTAGCCCTGCTGGTCCCCATAAACAATTGCTTGAAATTCGTGTGGATGTAAAATCTTAATTGTCAGTATCATATTCAGATGATCTTTAGGGTTTAACTGGTTTTGTTTTTGTTTATCTCTATGTCAAAATACTTGTAAATTGGGAACAAACTTCTCTCAGCTTCTTGAAGCTGTTCAACTATCCTTGCCACTGGAAGACCAAACACGGTTTTTGCTACTTTTTCTTTTATTTACTACGTTGAGAATTATTTCTTATTCTTTTTACTACCAATGAAATCACTCACCTGGATTAAAGATTAAGACCTTAACCTGTTTAGATTATCTTTAATCTCCATGAAATTATGAAACAAGGCAGGAATAATTTTTCAGCTGTAGGCCATTTTACAGCTAATTGCCCATAAATTGTAGCATTTATTGACCTGACGTACTAAGCTAATTGTCTTGACTACTCAAAGCCCCTGAACTGTTGTCAACTTTCCCCTTTGTGTTGCGTAGCCCTGATGTCAATTAGCTTGTTGTCCGATGCCTCCAGTAGGACGCCTCCAATGGAGCTTTGATTTCTAAGCAACAACAGCTCCCTTCCTGAGACGCGTCCCCCATAGGCTCCCTATGATGAAGGACCGTGCACCTCCACTCCAACAGAGTGCTGAGTTCAAAAGCTGACCTGTGTTTGTAATTTCACTTTCATCTTGCTTAATAAATATCTGCTGAATTCTTTCATTCACTTTTTTACATTTGAATTTATGTTTTTAATAAAAGGGGTGTTACACTATTTGATTGCACTTAATTGGCAAAATCTAAGATGATCTCTAGAAAGCATATGTTAAGTTCATGAAAAGAAAAAAACGTGTGTAAGGATGTCGCCTTTCTAAAGCTAAGTCATAACGAGCATAGACAACGTACCTCAAATGTTTCTCTGAATATTATGTTTAAGATCTCCGAGTTACGTCATTTACCGCTATTTATTTTTATGGGGAAAATAAAACTCTCAAAAACGAAAGTAGCAATTGCTGGGTGTAATTTTGCACATTTATACAAATCTTAAGTGATATTTCAGGAAGCGGCTTCATTGCTATTGTCAGATTACGTTTCAAATTTTCTATTCTGTATAATGAATTAAAACAGGAAACTTGATTCTACATTTTTGCAGAAGAGATGTTGCACCTTAACTGAAACAGGGCACTGAAAATGTTATCTGTAGTAAAACATGCCGCACAGAAGTGTTTCCCTTTTAACTACCACTTAGGCCGACCACTCTGATTGTCACGGAAACAATTTCATAGAAATGATGCAGCCCAAACATGTTTCATGCTCACTTGAATAAGTTGCAAAAACAATCTGCATGTTTGTTGTAATAGGCCATTAGCACAAAATACAATTTTAGCAAAAGCCTTTTTGATCATTACTTTTTCTTAAAAACATCATTATGGATATTTTTTTAAATGTGGTTTTAATGTAACTTAAGATAACAGAAAGCAGAGGTTTAATACAGTCATTAGTTCAATTGACATTTATTGAGCACCTAGTATGCGACAGGCTGAGGCAGACTTGGGGTTGGCCTATGCCAAATAACTTTACCGTGTCTTTGCCCTGGTTTTTACTCATCTCCGACCTGCTGATAGTAAGCACACAACTGCGAATACCATCTTCTACCTACGCAGCATGTCACTGATGTGAAAGCCCCGGGAAATACCTCAAGTCATCAGTGTGTTCAGAGAATTATCTCACACAAATTACTCATTAACTCAATAGCACATAATAAAAAAGAACATCAATTAATAAGTCACCCTCAGATTGCCATTATTACAATAGAGCTCTGTTGCAATAGCCGTTACCAATGAAGCTGCCTCTTTTTATTCGTTGTTTGCAATTGGTCCATGGTCCATTATTTGACTGAAACCAGCATCAAATTTAACACATGACTGTAGGTAGTTGTGTGTTTAGTACCATAAATGAAGATTTCAGAAAGCCTAGGATTTATAAGACATTATGAATGGTCAGAAAAATAAAGAAAACTCTCATTTTTACTAGAGCTTCCTCTGAGGCCATGCTGTTAGAAGGGTATTATCATTTGAAAAGATATCTTTTAACTTTTATAATCGAGATTTAAGACTTCCATGCTGAACACTACAAACAATAGCTGCTAAAACACTTGAGTAAATTTTACAGTGCTTTAGTATACACACAATTTCATTTCAGTAACTTTTCAGGAAGACTAAAATATGCATGATCACTGCCAGTTTTGCATTTTCGGCATCCCAAAATGACATTTTTGCTTTTGGCAGGCTGGGTTAAGGTAGGTTTATGGGGATTGACAGCAGTAGGGGAAGGGATTTTAAAAAATACCAAACATTACATAAAAATTCCCCAACTAACTTTCACAACTATCTTGGTAAATGCCATTCCAATAAGCTTATAGAATAATTATAACAGTTCCCTTAGGTGAGTAAGAAACATCTGTTGCTAACACATAGCAGGTGTTAACAATTACACACACTGAACTTTTTAAAAATGTTTTTAATTAAAAGAATTCTGTTTTCTGAAAAGGAAAATATGTTAAATTTAAGATACTCCTGTTTTGGGCGTGCAGATCACATAATGCACAAAATTATAAAGACCAAATCATCTTGGATCAATCAGGTTTGTGTTTGGTTCAGATCATTACAGTCAAAAGTGAATTGGAACTATCTGCACTTTTTACACAATTGATATTCTGGACTTAAAAGCTGAATACTCGAAATTCGTATCACAGGCGTGATTACAGAATCTTTTGGCTTTATGGGCAAAATGGCTCGCATTAACTATTCTAAATTAGTGGACACAGTACAAATTAAAATTGGAATGAGAGACATTCAAATAATACATTACCAAAATCTTTTTCATCCTGCCTCTGGAGAAGACTTTAAATCACCTAAAGTAAAACAGTTCATTTGAAACATAGAACATTTTCATATGACCCATCTTCAATAGCTTTTAGTGGTAATAGATAATATTTACCAAACAATCGCCATGTATCAGGAGGTTTTGCACACCCATGTCATTTGTACAACGCCCCTGTGACATCGGTACCATTAAAATGAAAGCACAGATAGGTTACTTCACTTGCTCATGGTCATGTAGCCAGAAAGCAGCGGGCCTGAGACATGAACACCAGTTTTCTGGGTCTAGTGATTTCACGCTACCGTATCACCTTTTATATGGTCGTCAGGATTTTTGTCACTATTATTTTTTTCTAGCTCCTGGGACTAGCCAAGCACTAGAAGGACTTATGTATGCTTGAGCAAAAATGCCAAACACATCAGAGTTAATGTCATCTTTAAAGATGAAAATTGGGAACGAGAGTGATTATATTTCCCTAGATGCAAGCTGTTTGGGAGCTCTTTCTTCTAACCATACCGTGAAGGCATTTATTTGAACCTGTACATCCGGGGTACCAAGAACAGAGGATTCTTCCTAGAGCAGAAAGGAAAGCAAGAGGTGGTCAGCATCGACTTGAGGATACATTGAAGTAAAAAGCTGCAAGTTTCAGCATCGGGATAAATATTCCATAGCAATGTGAGGCTACAGTCTTAGAATCGAGGCAATACGACGAGTGTATTATTTGCCTTTGGCATTTTAAAACTTACTTCCAGAATGAGTATGTTATTTGTCTTTGATATTTTAAAATTTCCAGAGGATGAGATGAACAAAAATTAAAGGCCTTAGGAAAACTATGTATGTGGAGGCCGGGCGCGGTGGCTCACGCCTATAATCCCAGCACGTTGGGAGGCCGAGGCGGGTGGATCACGAGGTCAAGAGATCGAGACCATCCTGGTCAACATGGTGAAACCCCGTCTCTACTAAAAATACAAAAATTAGCTGGGCATGGTGGTGCGTGCCTGTAATCCCAGCTACTCAGGAGGCTGAGGCAGGAGAATTGCCTGAACCCAGGAGGTGGAGGTTGTGGTGAGACGAGATGGTGCCATTGCACTCCAGCCTGGGTAACAAGAGCGAAACTCAGTCTCAAAAAAAAAAAAAAAAGGAAGAAAAAAAGAAAAGAAAAAAAAAAAGAAAAACTCTACGTCAAAACTGCAGGCACCCACCCACAGTGTAGCTTCATACCCGTCCTCTTTAAATTTTATTTGCCTGAGAAACTTTGGTGCATAAAATATATTTGCTGCTACTTATTCTTTGTTTAATGCCCAATTTATTAAACATACAACTCTAATAAATAACAATCCATCTCAACATTTGAACACCATTTAAGCAGCTAATAAAGCAAAACTTGTAAATTTAATGAATCAGATTCAACCACTTAAACACTGATTAGAATCTTAGATTCCTCTAAACATTTCAATAAAATCCCATGTAAAAGTTTCAAGTACTTTAAAAACAGACAAAAATTCTCACAATGAGCAAAACTTATTTTTTTTAAATATACTTAAAGATGTAACCAAAAATATGAATTTAATTTAAAATTTCTATACTTTGTTTTATATCTTTCTACGGTGACATTAATGGCAATTCCTTTAAAATTTTAGAAAATATTGTGTTTAATAAACTTACAGGGACTGTGTTATTGAGTATATGAACCTTGGTTGGGGCCTAAGAACTAGCTGCACTGTCTAAAACGATGCTAGCTTCAGCCAGTTCACATCGAGTTAACCAATAACTTAATAGTCATCCTCCCTATCATGTCAACGGAATTTTATAATTCCAAGTCTTTCATATAGGTTATAATTTTTTGTAACTCAATGCTTTTTCCCAAATTGATTGGAATCACATGTATGAGATTTTAGTATCTCATTATAAGCTATAGAAACATTTTGAGATATTTGTCCCCTCAGAAATAAGGACTTGAACCCATGTAGTCAAATTTCCTATTAGCATATTTGGCGAATTCTTTTTCTTTAGAAATTATTGGACCCTCTTCTGAACTTATTATCATGCAGTCCCAATTGTATTGATTAGCACTTTGTGTTCTTGGCGTGGTTTGACTTAATTCTCTACATTTACATTTAATCTTATCTACTTAGGAAATAGAGATGAATACAAATTGATGCTAAGTAAATGCACTTTCAACAGAAGAAACAAGCCACGTAGAGCATATTTAGTTTTTTCTCTTCTGTATGACAATTATTTTGTATACATCACATTGACTGTTCCCCTTTTGAGTACAATTGTGGACCCATAGCTTTTATAGACCCTGATGGAATATAGGCAGATCGACTAGTAGATTATGTTTCAAGTATTTGTGCGTGTGTGTGCATGTGTGTGTGTGTGTGTTTAGTTCTTACTTAAGGTGTCAACTGTAAAAGTTTGTTTTGAAAGACAATACTCTAGAAAACCAGAAATGTGAAAATAAAAGGCATCACAGCAAGGTGCTGTGCACGGTTCCAGAAAGGAACACTCAACCTGAACACTGCAGCGACCAAATGTGTATAAAGCCGCAGTGAAAGAAATCACCCGCACTTAGGAAGAGTATCAGTGTTGCACACTAGCTGGACACTCAGATGTCAACAATGAAACAGGTTAATAAGCTGAGGGCTGAGATCAGGACTTAAGAATTTATCCCCAGTCTTCATTAAGGCTATTTGACAAGATCATGTTTTAGTTATTACTTTTAAGGTTAACTCAAAACACAACATTCACATCTCAATTCATCCTTAAATTTTTCCCATTGAAGCTGTTTGGGACCATAAACATCTTGGTTAGCAACATCAGCTTTCCCATCAGGCAGAAAATATCTTGAAAATACACTTAGCTTTATTAGTAACAGTTTTCTCATCTGTA